TGTGTGTGTGTGTGTGTGTGTGTGTATGTGTGTGTGTGTGTTTCACGGTTCGAGACATTATTGATAATGACGTTAAAAGGATCTCCCTAACACCTCCCTCTATTATAATAATACATATTATGCATGTATAGTAGGTCTATATATTTTTTCGGTGGTCTTCCTTGATGTTTATTTTTCTTTTCTCAAATTACCCCTTAATAAATTTTTTTTTATATGATCATAAACATCTTTTAAAGAAATGTTGCAAATAACTCTTACTATTTCATGTTTAATTCTTCTTGGTGAATGACACTTTCAATTGTATCCTCCGTGAAAATGGTATAAGGACATGAACATTGTAATTTTGATAACACAAGAATTACGTTGTATTATTTTCACAGAATTCTACACTTAGAAGTGTAGAATTCTGTGATTAATTTTTATTTTGCCGTCAAACCGCCAGCCTGGCAATCCGTTTCCTCGGGACAGTCTATTGTTGCGAATGGGGGTTTCGGTTTTAGACTCTTCATTCTTCATTCGGCGACCTGGTTGGCCTACCGGATCAGTCCAATCTCTCAGCTGTCTCTATTCTTGCTCGACTCGACCTCTGTCCCCTCATCAAAACCAACTTTTTGCGCGTCCGTTGCAGACCCCTAAAGCTAAATGGGCGCAGAATGCATTGCACTTTACTGTGTTATGTTTTTAAAGTTCTAAATGTAATAAAATTCTTCTCTTTGAAAGGTTTTTCTTTTTCACGTTAATATTTTTATTGCCCCAGCAACACATTTTACATCATTAGAAGGCGGACTTTTGATCCTGCCTGTCAATGCTAAACCGGGCTGAGACATGTATAACACCCCCAGCGCCCAGCAGAAAGACCGAGATAAAACAATATATAATTTTCGATGGATAAACAATTTCTCCCCACCCGGAAATCGAACTGCATGCGTCATGAAAATGCCTTCTTTTTTTTTTTTTTTGCTGCTGCACCAAAAACCGCGGTTTGGATCAAGAATCTATGTCGCCACCAAAAAAATAAGTTCCAATCAATTTTATTTCGTGTGGGTTTTTGCAACCCTTTCAATTAAGGAAAAATTAAGACGCAGCAATGCTTGTTATCATTGAAAAGAACTCAATTTTCTTTAGATTGTCACAAACAGACTCTTGGAAACGCTCTAACTTGATCAATAATACACATGCGCATTCCGGGGACGCAACCAGTTTTATATTTACCCGATCTCTTATTCTAAAGTCCTATTTCTTCCGTCCCTTAGTTGTTTTCAATGCTGTACTTTTGAAACCACCGCGAAGTTTCCTTTTGTTTTTCTCGATGGATAAAATGTACTGCCCAGCTGGGACAGTAAAATCCAGCAAATTATCATTACGAACAAACACAGAATACGGCACCGGGGATCTAGAAGAAAAAAAAAAGAAAAGAAAAGAAAAGAAGACCAGAAAAACATCGAGG